CATCCCATTGAGCTCTGCACCTGCACCTTCTTCCACTCAGAGAAGCAGCAAGTGGCATATTTGACATAAGGAAATGATACAGTAGTTTCTTAAAAATAAAGCATATTGTGGATTGGAGTGTTGTCATAGTCGTGATGATCCAGGAAGCATACAACATTTTTTGTGATGACTTTTACTGGACCAGCTGTATGGTTGGGAGAGCTATTGGGCAAGCTTGCAGGCATCAAGTGTCCTTCCTCAGGTGACATATTATAGGAGTGTTTATAGGCTTCACATGACCCTGCATAATTGTGCTATATAAAAATAAATTACCCCTGTCCTGGAAATCTCACACTATATCCAGAAAAGACAAAAAGACAAAGGGTGGGAGAAATGAAGTGTTATCTTCAAATTTTCCAAGTGAGAAACTTAGGCATAAATCAATTAAGTGACCTGCTGCCCAAGATCACACAGGATGTCTATGGCAGAGCTGGAAACTGAACACACTTCCTGAGTCACTACCCAGTGCCTTAAATCTAGAATCCTGTGTTAGTTCTTATCGCTTATTTTTCAGTGTGGGGACAGAGCCATGCATACTGAAAACTCATACAGTTCGATCAATGATTTTTTGGCCATTACCTGGGGAGCAGCACAAACTGGTATTCAGCTACCAGGAAAATCACATTACATTTCCCTGTATTTGTGAAGCAAATGGGATGTGTTTCATAGCCCAGCTGTACGTAAGTAGATGGACTATGAAACTGCTATATCACACACCTTATTATAAGGAACTAAACCCATGCCTAATAGATTTAATAATAGCAAGTCTTCTGTGAAGCACACTTGTCTCATTTTCTTTGGCACAATTGAATTTATCTACAAGGATAATACACAGATTTATTGTACACTGGTTTATTGTTCTGTAAAATGGAGAACCTGCTCTTTTACCCTTTAATTGGCATTTGCCATCAAAACTTAGGAGAATACCCTGTATTTAAAGCTTGTTTAAAACTATGCTAACCATACAATTGAGCCGATAAAAGAGATCACCCACAAAAATTCTTCCCTTTTGTCCTGAAAATATTTCAATACACAATTTTAATAGAAAAGGAAAATTTTGACCTCAGAAAAGTAATTTTATAGTAGTAGTGGCAAGCACTTCTGATCAGACAGATTTTGATCAATGAATTAAGTAAACCCAGCTAATATTATCTACTTTTGGTAACAGTGAAAGAGGGTTAGGCAACAGAAATTACAAATAATCAGAGGAATCCTCAGTTTAAAAAGTTACTTTAAGGTAGAAGAGAAAATCTGTCCATCCCAGAGGGATCCTGAAAAACAAGTCATGGAAGTCACAACATGTGACTGATACATTAGAGCAGGGGTAGGCAATGTTTTTTGGCTGGAGTGCCGAAAAACACCACAATGCCTACCTCGGAAGGTGCCAGAGTGCCGGCATGGCAGAAAAACAAAATGAGGGCAAGGGGTGCATGGCAGGATTCCCTGCTTGTACTCCTTGCCCCCACCCAAAGCCCCTGCCCCCCAGCTCTGCTGCCCCTTG